AATAATAATAATAATAATAATAATAATAATAATAATAATAACAATAATAATAACAATAATAACAATGACAGTAGCGACAATAATAACAATAATAATAATAAGCAAAGCGTGCAATACAAACAACAAATTTGGGAGCTATTTTCATCGGAAACCAAACTAAAAGCTAGCAAAAGGAGGGCCAAATGAGTCACTCAGTTCAAGCAAATGCCACTGCCTTTGACAATGAAGTACCATTCCTAGGTATTCTTTTGTCAAAATCTATATAAAAAACTTTACTGTAAATGCTCACTGGTTCTTTAGCAATCACTGGTACCACTTGGAACAGCACAATGAATATCGAAAGTATCGCTGTCCTGGAGAAGCACCATTGATGAGTCGAACTAGTTCTTCCCATATATTTTTTAGAAGAAATAAGAGACGCTTGATCGTTTCCATCTAGTCCAATAATAATTCGTCCTGCCAGCATCTCTATTCATTGATAAAAGGGAAGCAGGGGGCCTCCAGACCTGCCTTTAACTGCACACTGGGAGGCGAAACCCACTTAGCATGCAGCGAAAAGCACCATCAGGATTACACCTTCCCACCGTATAATGTGATTCAGCAGAAGAAGTGGTCAGGTTCGATTAGCAGAGAAAGGGAACGAGGAGCAAAGAAGACCGAGGGAAAAAAGAGGATTAATAGGAGCGGAATGTTGGGACAAGAGACCAAACATTCTTTGCAAAAACCCCGTTTTTTGATAAATCAGCATTTTTATCTATCTCATGCAATATAATGTTTCTGTGCGGGATTGAAAAGACGTGTTGAACAGGCCAAGCTGGCCTCAGTTATGCTTGTGAAGAAGCTTCAACGGAAACGAAGCCAGTTGAGGGAAAAAAGCAGCACAAGAGATCAAATTCCAGGAAAAAACGTACTCCCGAGAAGCAAATGCGCCAAAACAGAGGTCTACACAAAAGCGAAATGTTCATGGACAAAAAAATTGTTTCAAATTTTCTAGCTTATTTGTTAGACAACATATGGATTTCTCGAAATCGGGAAAATGGAACAGCTATATTCTGTAGTATAATCTGTCAGGCATTATCAGGGACTACAACGCATGATATAATTTAGCACAGATGGACGGTAAATGCACAGAAACAGCTCTCTGCTCTTCATCTTCCTGTTACCGCATACGAGAACTGTGAAACTGCCGGCTACGTCAATAGCAAGAAATTGTGAAACTCTGCATACGAGAACTGTTCAGTTGCCAGCTACGTCAATTGCAAGAAGAAAGGCAACGATGAAACAACAGATTTTTAGTACAAAAATTTCGCATACTTATAAAGTTCCACAATTCTATCTAGCACTGGCAGGCTGAGGGGGAATTTCGATTACATTAGAATAATTAAAGGAGCACAATAAAGGGCTTCGAAGGAGACCAGTGTTTTTTGCGAGATCGTTGACAGTATGAATGGCCGCTGCTTTACAGCTTGCTATGTAAACTTATGTTGCAAATGTTTCTGTTGATCTTTTCACGAACACAACGAGAGAGAAGCGTTCCCTAGGACATTATTGCTCGAGTGCTGCGCTTCGTGAAATTTCAGCTTTCTAGCGCATATGGTTAAAGTGGGAGAAGAACGCGTGTTCTCGTACGAGCGTAACCGTTTACGAAAACTGGAATCACGCTTTTAATTCTGAACAAGATGTGCTCGTATCCTCATAAAAATTTCAGCTTTCTAGCATGCCACCCCAGACTGAACTTTCACTCGTGCATATGGAAGTTTCTCGAAGCAACAACCATTCATACTGTTAACGACCCGACTGCTTCAAAATTCGCGTAAAAAAGCATCATCGCATTGGTAAACCTAGTGCACTGCTATTTGTGCTTAACATATCAATACTGCACATTCTTACTTAGCAAACACCAAGCTCTTATTAGTCTGTTATAGCAATCACTGGGTCAAATTACTCGCTAACTGCTTCTCTACCCGCCCTATTTGATCACTTGCGCCTCATACCCTCTCAGAAGTACGTTGCTAAACCTGAATTAGAACTCGCTTACCCACCACATCACATCATTTTCAGGTGTCAGTACTTGTATCATTTGTGCAATATTTATTTGTTTACAACTTGAGAACAATGAGATACATGTTTTCTTTTCTTCGGAGCGTCTAAAAAAGAAACATATGGATACAAGAGAAGACAAAGATGCAGTGGCTTAACAGAATATGCCAAGAGCGCAACAATGAGTCAAAAATAAAGAGGAAAACAATTCCACCCTCTCTCATGCGTATAAGCAAGAGGAAAAAGCTGACCACACTGCTAGCGGAAAAACAAAAAACCCTCGAAAAATACCCAAATTTGAAATTTTGCGGACAAGACGGTACACTACCTATTTGATACAACAATCATTTACCACCACGCATGGAGATACCTGGGCTAAGTTTGTTTGGAATGAATTTTTACCGATACAAAGTTAACTGATTATGCTAACTGACGAAGGTGTCAAGTGGAAATATCCCGCTGGAGTTAATTACGGCCTTGAAGCCCAGTTCTTCCTAGCGAGTAATATCCGTGTAAACGATCACGAAAATGCACGCAAAACATTTAGCAGATACCCAGAAGTATCACCATCTCCGTAGAGTACCGAGCTAGGATTTGGGAAATGTAACGAGATCTTACAATGAATGCAGATGTCGGGAGTAATCGATACTCGAAGGATCGTAATTTAAAGAAATATTTCACTAAAATACAAGAAAGTAGCAATAATCTGTAATTAAACTGCTGAACAGGAATGTTTCGGTCCATGAAGTCGTATACATCCTCGACCACTTGATCTTGTCAGCACGACAGTTTTAGTCTCAAAAATTACTTTCAGTATGATATTTGTCAAATCTCTAAATAACGTGTTCGGGTAATCAAAAAAGAAAGAGATAATCTAATATATAGAAGGCAAACAAAAACCGGAAGACAGGAGAAATTACACTAAGAAAAATGACACAACTTGAAAAGAAATGTAATAAATATACAATGTGATATTCTGAGCATTTTTTTAAGGGGCGCATAACAAAAGCAGCATCTACCTCAGAAACCCTCCAAATTTTTGTTCACTTTTTATGCATAATTTGAGAAAATCAACACATTCACGCTATTTGCTCATTAATATTTGTATTACAGAATTGCTACACAAAAGAAAGCGAGTCAAATCAAAAGGTGCTCCAGAGGTAAAATATTGAGATTTTATAAATGCACATCATAAAAACATATCCTGATCAACAGTAGTATCACACAGCAATAACTGGTTGTTTCAACTGAAAATCAGCTAAAAAAAGCAAGTAAGCTTGAGCGTATCGAATAATTTTTTGACAGCGAGTGCTCTTCAAAGCTTTTGGCGATGCCTTTTCTCTATACAAGGAAATCCACGAAAGTAAAACTAGTAAAAATCTATGCTCAAAATGCTTGTACGTTTCATTTCAAAAAAAAAAAAACACAAAATGTAATTTTTACAGCAGAAAATCCCCAAAAATTTCCCGGCAGCTTGGAGCTGCTGCCGGGCAATTTTTGGGGTTTTTTTCTTGTTTTGGATTTCTTTAATATTGTTCTAATAAATAAATTTCACCTGGTGTTGCACTCCCGCTGCCAGGCACGGCCCCACAGCTCCAGCTCCTCCTCCGCCCGAACGTTACATGGGGGCTGAGCCGATCCGACATAGTCGAGAGATACCGGATTATAAGCGCGTAGAGGAGCGACTGAGAATCAATTAAGACTCCTAGTCGCGCGTAGGCTGAAGAGCGAGTAAGTGCTAAAGCACATAATGCTCTGAAGCTAAAAGTGTAGAGGAGATATGAAAAGTGCACCCCTCGGGAGAGTTACAACAAATTAAGGGCCAAGCGCAGCCAAACGTCGTTGGTAACGTTTGAAACAGCTATGCTGGATTGCAGCGAGCACAGTGAAGGAGGGGAATTTGTTTCCCGAACCCCGAAGGAGGACGAATTGGAGTGGGAGGATGCGCAACACCTCCCGGACGTGAGATGTAGCTCGGCAGTTTTTTGGGATAAGCTGGCCGAAACAGTGGAATGGGCCGAGAGAGGTAGCTCAGAGTACCTTGAGGCAAGGATCAGAGAGGTGAAAACGCCTCTGGTCGCGCAAGGCAGGGCGACGCGAGGGCTCACGTCCAAAATCGAGCCGTGGGAGGACGGCCTTGAGGAATGAGACCGAAAGCAGGATGAACTAAGAGGTATCCTGCGAAAAGTCCTGGACGGCAAATCAGATGTTGGGAATGAAGGCCGTGAGGCGAAAAGCTGGGAAGAAGTAGCGAGAGAGTTTGAAATCTCCTCGCCTGTGCAGCTGTGGGAAGTGCTCAATGAAGCAGCTAAAATAAGGAACCAACTAAAAGCGAGAGATTATGAGTCGCAGAGAGTTGTGATGAGCCGGCTGCGCAATTCCGAAGAAGTAGAGCGTGAGCTGCGAGCTCAGATGGCAAAGCTAAGGAAAGAAAAAGAGGCACTAAAGACACAAAAAAATGAAAGTGTGCGAGCGAGTGACACAAACAAATCGCGAAGAACGACCGGTCGCAGCGCATGCGACTGCACGAATATGACCGGTAAAGGAATAATTAAAGAAGCAAAAAAAGATAGAGTCGGCCGTATAACGTCGACTCAGCAGATAGGAATGAACGGTGCGAGCAGTGTTAGATGCAACCGCTCGGAGTGGAACGCGATGACGAAAATGATAAATGCGGCCGAGAGCAAAACCGACC